CAGAACATAAACATTTTCAGATCATTTCCTTTTTATTATTCCTTCAAAAGTACCTACATTGTTATATATAATTTTTTCCCCACATTTTCCAATATTTAAAAATACTATGAATGAACTTGACTATAATCCTTATGCCTCACTACATTTTAAACTTTCTTTTTATTTTTTATTTATACCTAGAAAACATACTACAAAGTTTTATGGCAAGTAAGATGATATAACACAGAAATTCAAAAAAAAATTAAATGTACAATTTGCCCTTTTAACTTGGAATGACTTTATACAATAGATAAGAATTGGGGTCAGATACTGTCCAAAGAAAAAGGCAAGGATTTCCTAGATAGTCAGAATGAGACAATAGCTTTGTAGCTTTACTCCTAAAAACGGAGGTTGAACCTATAAAGATAATTGTCATTAAACTACCTAATACTGTTTGAAAGTTAGAAACTTGTTTCAGCCTAACACTATATGGTTAACATAGTATTTTATATTAAAAATACTGAGGAAGAGATTGTATTATATAATGCTGCAGAGTGTGTGATTATATAATCAAATAAATATGTGGTCTGGCTACTTCATTTCTGATGTTCTATAGATGAGGCCTGTCACAGACCTGAGCACCTACCAGCTTCTTTCCTCTCCACAGCCTGAATCTCCTTTCCTGCTTATGCTGTATAGAATACCTACTGCTTCAGGGTCATCTTTGGTCCATCTCAAAAGAGACTTCTATAACATTTTATTGTTGGTTCACAGGATTAATTTTCTGAACCATACATACACAGGCAGTACTTGATTATATTCAATTAAAAATATCATGTCATACTTTATTGTTCTTCATGGATTTCAAATGCAGCTGCAGAACTTGCAAATTTCATAGATAACCCTAGATTCCTTGAAAAAATGGGAGAATTTCACTGAGGGATTCGTAACTATCATAATGCTCAGAAAAGGCAGTCACTGAATAATTAACTATTGAATTAAATGTGACACAATTTCATCATGATAATTAGGATTTCATGACACTTCCAACAACCCCGAGAAGAACAAGCATCCTAGGTTATCTTATGTTTATAATCTTCTTATTATGTACACCAAAAACCCTTGCAATACTGAGTACTCAAGAATGAACAACACTTAACAGGCCTCTGTATTCATCTTATCTCTGTCATAGTACCATAGTCGTAGCTTTATTACATTTAGAAGAAGAAAAGTATGTCTTCTATACCATCCGTCTAAACTATAGAAAATTGGAGAAAAAATTGAAAAATTTAAATGTTCAAAGGCCAAATCACTTTAAAAGAGAAGATTGTTCTTGAATTGTGGTTCCTTTGTAAATGTTGTCTTTAGAAGTCTTGAGTTATGCCTTGATCACGTCAGTAAATTCACCAAAATACTTTTTATTCAAGTATATGAAGTATTTAGAAAAGAATAAAGTCAAATGAAACCACAAAATAATTCATGCTAGTAACTTCATATATTGATCCTTAGAGACTTTGTTATTATATATTTTTAGGTTTTTAATAAAAATAAAAATGATTTATTAAGCATGCATTTGCTTAATCAGTGCTTAAGTCAGAAAGTATATAAATAAATACTGAGACATTATTTTTTACATGAAATTCCTCAATTTATAAAACATTTTCTATTGACAGATAAGGTACAAAAAACTCAAGTCACATCTGCTAAGCTTTACTTACAAAAACTTAAAGAAATCCTATGGGATAACATCACTCAACTTTTCCTAGAATACCTCTCATGAAGACTTCCTAAAAATATCTGGAAATAATTAGAAACTATTATAGTACCTAAAAATTTGACTTGAAAACTAAATCTGCTATTTATCAAAGAATACAATGTACTCAGAGTAATGTGACAGAAAAAGAAGTAGTGTAGAGTAATGGAAACCACATCAGACACAGCTGATTGCAAAACAAAACAGAGCTATGACAGGAGACAGCATCCGACCTGTGATACACCAGGTAACTGGTGGGACACTGCACCTCATTGACAAGGTACTGACTTTGTCACATATAATATATATCAATTATTTGTGTAATTCATTTCACTTCAAAATGACAAGAAACCAAAAAGTGCTATGAGCTGCAACTTTAAGACAAGTTAAAACTGAAGAAGTAATCAAAACTTAAAAGTTTTTATACATAGAAAAATTATCCAGAATATAGTAAAAATTGGGGTATTTGTAGAACAATAAATATATCATAATGTATAATTCTAAGTCTTGTTAAAACTTAAAATACATTTTTCAGAGGATGTAACATTCCACTGCAGGGGGGACAGACTGGATGCCATGTCTTTTGGAGTTTAAAAGGCTGCCCATATGAACTGAATTATCCTTGACAAGTACTTTCAGACACTTGCAATATGATCTCATGTAAATTTAGACCATATTTTGAACATAAACTATTGGCAAAAGTAATTTTGTTCAGGAGCTCAGATAAGAAAGAAAGAAAACCTAATACCCTTAATAATATGTAGTAGTTAACATGACATTTCCAAAATGAAAATGAAAAACATAAAAATAAAAGTATCCAATGTGTTATAGCAAAAAAAAAAAAGTGTAAAAATTTCACATTTTCCAATCCACAGATGTCTGTTCTCTCCAACATTTACTTTTCAATGGCTTGTCTATGTTTGCGGATAAAAACACATTTTAAGCAAATAAATAATTTGGGAAATTCCATTTGCATTGAAAAATTGTTTTAACCAAGAATTACACTGCAGTGTGGGTAATAAGTTAGTTGTGTTTTTCAGTATGGAAAAAATAAATATAGCACATCCAAACAGTTACTCATCTTCTTAACTATTTATATCAGTACTTCTACTGCTCATCATCTTCTGGAGCTATCAGTACTTTCATAGGGCTGACTGTAAAAGTGAAAAGAGCTCAGGAGCCTGAAGCTTTAAAGATTCATCAGGACTGCCTTCTGCCTTGGCATGAAGACAGCCCAGAGAACTGTGCTAATTCTACAGGGATCAGATCCATTGCAGAAGAGATGCATTAAGGCTTGTGGAAGAAAACAATGGTTCAAAGAGAGCTATCAAGCAATCTCCACAGCATCATTAACTGTATTTATTTCTCCTAATCAGAAGTCTGCTAGTGATATGGTTGCCTGTTAATGAGTGAAAATAGAATACAAGTCATCATGAATCTGAGGAGTAGAGAAAAACGGTGAATTATTTTAAGAAACTTTGAAGTTATGTCAATTTGTTTCAAAACCAAACCTTTAAAACATCTTTGGAGAAACTAATGGTCTACAAAGATAGTTTTCTAAGCTTAATTTATGGTAGAATAGGAAATGTCCCCCATTCAAATTGGATTGAAGGAGGATCACTTTTTAAAAAAAATATTTGATGGAAAGCAACATTTGAGTTCAACAGAGAATAGCAACACAATTGGAACTATTTTTTTTACAAGCATACCTCTTTAAGTCACTTAAATGAGGCATGTTTAATCAAAGAGCTACTTAAAACATTTAAGTTTTTCAAAGTGTTGAAACAAACTGAATTATTTTAAAAATTCAATTTAAGAATCAACTGAGAGACATGTTTATAATACTGCTTTGCTGAAACACTGAAAGAAAGTGCCCTGCACAGAGAGCTTAAATTTCTCACTCTTCCTTTCAATCAATATCTGAGGCAAAGTTTCATCTCTAGGGCCCTTAATGGCAGGAATTCCTGGAGCCAGCAAATGAGTAATGTTAAACCTATGATTAGATGATGAGGCCATCAAAGACACTAGATCCTAATGCTACATTCCTCTTTATTTCTCTGAACTGCAGTGAAACACAGGGATAAGGAAGAAGGAATTCTAAACCATTTCTTTCCATAAAAGCCTTAAGAAAAAGAGGTGGATCCTTACGAATCTAAAAGGTCCAGACAGAACTCTCAGAGTATCTCTTGAACTCAGGACTCGAGCAGTAGGTGACAAAATTGTCATATGCCCTATAGATAAATTCTTCTAGGGATGTTGTTCTCCTTAACTTCTTTCCTATCATTATTCTTCTTGACTAAAGAGGTGGAACTGGACCTAATTACTTCTCTGTGAATACATTCTTGAAAAAGTAAACTGAAAACTGGAAATCAATAGGTAAGTTTTTTTGTTTGTTTTATTTATCTTCAGTGATATTTAATGAATTAATTCAAGCTGTATTGCTATCTGGAGTAAGCTGTGGTTTTAGGCATATCTCAGTCTAGTTTCTAGACAGGGTATATATGTATTTTCCTTTCTATTGAGGAAAGCAGGAATAAATGTAATGACTACTAATTCCAAATATAGATAAGCTTTTTTTTTTTACTCTTACACTACAAAATATTTAATATTTGTCTGATAATCAGAAGCAGTAGGAGACATGATAGAGCTGGTGAAAGACCATTATGTTTCTATTTTAGTTATCAGCAAAATTGCAATATAAACATTTTTTTAAAAGCTCCCTATCACTGTTAAGAATGTTATTAAAGATAAATAGCCTTAAGTGGATTTTTAAGACTTTATTGACACATATCAATTATACATTTAAAAAAGGGAAAGCAGCATACCAAAGACCACTCATGAATAAGCTGTATTGTATGTACTTTGGCTGAGTAAAAAAGAAAATTTAGTTTTCATTATCTATAATTTAATAGAAGAAATACATAATTGAAACGTTTCAAAATTATAAAGCATGCTTTATTATTTTCAAAAGGTGAGACACAGTATTAAAAAAGACCTATAACAAATACACGCACAAACACAGATGAAATAGGAAACAATGGAAAATGGAAGGACAGGGAGGATGGGAGAGACTAATACAGCTAAAGACAGCAGACAAGGGAGTTTGAGAATAAAACAATGTTTATGTGGTAAGTTCATAAATTATTTTCTTCATCTCTGCAATGAGATGGAAGTTTAAAAAACTATATACACATGTACATGCACATACATTATATTAGTCACAAAACTGTTCATATAGTTCAATGTAATCAAGTGAGTGATTTGGTACCTGAGAGCAGAGCAGCATAACAAGCTCAACCACGGATGTGCTGGACTTCATGCAGACAAGGCCTACAGAAAAGAAAAGTTAAAACAATGGAATGACAATGGTAGACAGCAGCACTTCAAGTCAACCCATTATCCAGTTTTCTCTTATAAAAACTTTGCTTAAAACAAAACATATACTTTTTTTACATTAATTTAAAACTATTTGGATATTCTAGATAATGTAAAAGTTACCAAAAAACCAATTTCAAGTTTTATTGATTCAAGACATTTTAAAATATGTAAACAAGGTGAGAGATGATTATTGAAATGGCTGAGCTAGTTAAGAGTTGCTTTTATTCCACAGACATTAACTAGGTGATTGTTTCCTGGGCAAAGAACAATAATCATTGCCTACATTTTCTTTGAAAGACCAAATTAAAACAATTACAAAGCAGGAATTTCCCATAGTTTATAAAATGCTTCAAAAGTCACAGACCAGCTACTAGGAAAAACAAAATTGAATGCAATGAGTATGTAGTAATGACCAGTACTTCACTGATCACTTAGTACCTGGTAGGCAGTTTCAAGAGCTGTTTGTGGTCTTATTTAATTATCACTATCCTTTAATATTATTCCCATTACTATCCTTTAATATTATTCCCATTCTACAGGTAAGAACACCTTCCTTCTAGAAACAGTTTAAACAATAATTTCTCATCAATTCTTGATAAAGGCTGATTGCTGTATAACACTGTATATGATAAGAAAGGTAATCCTAATCGCCAACTTTTAAAAATGCCAACATACAGGAAGATGTAAGCAGAAATTAATAACAATTTCTAGATAAGAGTACATTAATCATGATGTTTGCTAACAATATATACTCTAAATGTTTCTGCTGTTTTTTTAATTGAAAGAACTTAATGAATAGATTGTTTTTGAGGACAAATGCAATCAATAAAAGCACCCTGTAGCAAGAAATGTCTTGGTCTTAGATTGTTTTTAAGTAGAAAGTTGAAGCAACTGTTCTTTATGTTTTTGTTTTTCCTTAAGGAGAGTTCAATAAACAGTCGCAAATGCCTTGTAAGCACTAGCAAATACTGTTATTGCAGGTAGTAGCTAAATACCCTTTTGTGCCATTTTGCTAATGACCCTATCCTTATTGTACAGACAGACAGAACAAGCTGTAAAAAGGCAGTGGTATTCCATCTTATCAGATCTTTGGGCAGACAGCTATCTAATGAAATAAGAGGCAGATGTGAAAAGCTCATTTAAAAAACAATTGGTGTAATTGATCAGCAATTCTCATGCTGGGGAGCTAGAGAGTCAGAGAGATTAATGGAGCATTTGTCACTTGTTGACTATGCAACTACTTGGATTCTGACAAAGAAAACCTTAAATAAAAGGCTACAGGATCATAATTAAAATATGTATGCATATTAATTTAGAACATAAGACATTGATGTAAAGAATTATTCACCATATATTCTATGTGTTAACTTTTAATATGTAATACCTTGAAGTAAAATTAGAAAAATTCAATTACATTCTTTTTACAGACTGATGTTTAAGCAAACTCCTAAAAAATTCATATGTATCAAGAACATTCATAATTCTTTAAAACATTATCATTCCATCATAAGAAAAATAAAAGCAAATGCTTTATCATTGCTTGTTTTCTAAAGAAATGACAACAAATTGATAGGCTAGCAAAACTACTCTGTAAACAGTATTTACTCGCAGTACTTTGTAAAAGGCAATTGCAGTAACTTCATAGAATCCCACAGATTTATTAAGGTGTTTTGTTGAATTAGATTTGGACAGAATGAACTAATGGATTCTCCTCAAAAGAAGAGAAAGAAAAAAACAATTAATCTTGATAATGAGAACACATGCAGGGATGATTTGGAAGATTTATTTACCTTATGAAATTACTTAGCTTGGTTGGAACTATTTCTAAGTGTTAATAAGAGTATTACCAAAACAAATAGGTAAAAGCCTATTTTATTATTATTATTTTATTAGTGATACTGAAAATTCAAGCATTGTCTGGTGACTTTATCCTTGTAATAAAACAGTACCCATATTAAAAATTTTAAGGCAATAAATAAGATTTTTTATAACTTTAGTTATAAGCTCAAGGAAGTCAATTTATCTGGTGATACTGTAAGTAAGTCTTAAGTTATATATACATAATGTAAATGTTTTATGTGGCCAATAAATTCATAATTGAATCAACACATTGGATTTCTCCCCTTATGAGCAAAATATAGTGTTGGCAGTTAAATGTCTATAGTAGGTAAGACAATATTATTGACATCTTAGTAAGTACAGCATATTATAATTTATAATAAAATTATCTAAAGTTCACATGCATTATAGTTTATAAATCACTTTTATATACCTGTCTCATTAATTCTCTTAGTTACCAGTATACTACATCACTTAATAGGTGTTTCATTTAGTAATTGGTAGAATTGAAGCCTGAAGTCAAGTCATCTAAGCAGAAAGATCATTTTCTGTTTGCTACATAAATAATTCAACATTAAGATAACGGCAATATACAATTATGAGAAAGACCATGATGGTTAATTACAACTAAAATGACTTTGACAGTTTTCTTGGTGAGGTAATAGCATGTATTATTCTGATATAAAGAAAAAACCCTCAACAGCTTTAGTAAAAAGTACATTGGAAGCAAGGAACAGAGAAAAAATCTGAAAAGAACTTTGTAGATGGGTGGGAGGGATGGATGATTAGAGTACAGGGAGTGTTTGAAAGTGGAATCAGAGTGCGAGGTTAAAAGAGAGGTAAACATTAAAAGAGATAAAGCTATAAATGGTCTTGAAAGTTAAGAGAAAGAACTTGGAGCGATTTATGAAATGAAGAAAACGATACCAAAGACTGATTATGGCATTCCTTATCTGTGCCAAAGGAACTTCCCAACAAAAACTCCAATTAGGAATAGGGGCCAACTAATAGAACATTTTCACTAGAAAGTATTTATTTGCCAGAATAAATATTCTGACAACAAATACTAATCCAATACTGCAAACCACACTATCTTACCAGTATAAACGAACAAGTGGAATGTAGACGATAAACATATGAAGATCTAAGAGGAAGGAGGCTCACAAATAAGAGGTACTTTAATGGTAAAAAAACTGACTAGTAAGAGGTTTTGAATGTATTATGAACTATCTGGTTGAAAGATGAAGTCAGCTGAGTGGCTAAGACATAGTACTTGAAAAGTTTAATTAGGTAGACAAATATGAGGTGGTCAGATCCAGATAGCAAACAAAAAGATACAGCTGAGTGAACTATTATCCCCCAAACTGGCAGTTCTTTTGTGTTCACATTTACTAGGAATAGGAAGTCAATTTCTATTTTCAGAACTATACTCCCTCCCCATTAAAAAAAAATAAATAACACAAAAAAGTAAGAAGGAAAACCTGCAATAAAGGATAAGCCAGATTTAAAAAAATCACCAAAATGAAAATGAAGTTAGAAGCTTGGCCTTTGGCACAAAGCTATCTTGCTTTAATGTAGGACTACTGAAAGGAACAGTAATGTTGTCTTAATAAAGAGCAGGCAGGCTCCTGAATTAACTGTGGGTCTAACTTTGTACATCTGTCGAATTTGAAGATCAAATGAAAAGAACCTTTAAGCTTTAAAATAATATGGTGAGGTCTGGTATGTAGCTCAGTGGCAGGGAGCTTGTCTAGCATGAATAAGGCCCTAGGTTTGATTGCCAGCACTAGGAAAGGAGGGAGGGAAGGAGGGAAGAAAGGAAAAGACAACAATAAAACATATGAAGAAATTCCATCACTAATAGAATTCTCCTCATGGTTGAAGATGGAGAGTATTAAGCCTTGTGGGACAAGCAAAGAATCACACTCTTGGATCAGTTCATCTTTTAAGTGACATCAATGTTTTCTTTCAATAGGGCTTTTTCCAAAAGAGGAGACTGACAGATTTCTATGACTAGGATTCTCAATAAGTAAACATTAATTGAATCAGTAATCTAGAAACCATCATTTGGTAACTAAAAACTGAAGATTGAAGAAAAAAAAACCAGAGCATTTTAAGAACAAGAGCCCAATTTATTAAAAAAGCACATACCGAGCACAGTGTTCACTATGCCACAGACAGGGTCAGTAGGACAGTTTATGTAAACTCATAATCAAAATATAGAATCCTAATGTTCAAAGAGAAAATAAGGTGCAGAAATATAGGAATGGTAGTAAGCAACTTTGCTAGAAGAAATTGTGGGGAAATGCAACATTTACATTGGATGATGCTGGGCCTGTCTTTGCAGGAAAAAAGGGAAAAAGATGTTTGAGGCATAAAGCATAATATAGTAAAGTAGAATTGAGATGTAATGTTTTGCATTGTAAAGGATGGAAGAAACTACTCACTATGCTTCCTTTGCCTTAGTTTCACTGATGTATAGCTAAGTAATTTCTTTAAAATCCTCTTTTTGGTAGTTTTACTATGGTGAAGCATAGCATTCTAAGACAAAGCTCGTCCCTAAAGAAGAGTGTCTTTAGGACCTCTGCAATGTCTACAAAGTCTCTCTCAGTACAATAGTCATTTCCTATAATTTTTACTGTTGTTTTACATTTTGTATGAAATATATTTTCCTCTTCCATTACTGTGTAGGCCCCTCTCTTTAAAAATTACTTTCAATGTTACCACATAGCCATGAAAACTTACTAAGGTTCCAACCTCAAAAAAACAGCAAGGTAAGCAATTAGTGTGGATTTCAAATTTAAAAACTAGAAAATAAAAACGAAACAAAAATCAACATTACAATAATGTTTGGGCTAACAATAATGGCTTACATTTTCGTCATTATCATTATATGGCAATATTAATATGCATATACAAAGTATGTTACTATTTTGACTGGACATTCCAAGATTTGCTACATGATACTTCAGAGACTGTAATTTAAAACTATTGCAAATGGAGTTAATTATCATACTAACCTAAAGAAATTAAAATAACATTAAGTTCATTGATTTAAAAAAGCTAACTCAAATGTAATTAAACCATTAAAGCTTACTTTCATGTGAAGACTG